CCCAGGGATGTACGGGTTACGGTGGATTGGCCGTGCTAAATTGTCCCCATAGTGCCAGGGATGTCCAGGGAAGCTATGAGACTTCATGGGGTCTGGAGTCAATGTTGAGGACTCCCAGAGCAACACCCTCCCGACTGTATACCACTGTACCATCCCTCCCTCTGCTGGGTCTGCCCTGCCGGTGGGACAGGACATATCCAGGGATGGTGATGGTGGTGTCTGGGACATTGCCTGTCAGGTATGATTCCCTGGGTATAACTGTGTCAGGCTTTTGCTCGACTAGTCTGTGAGCTCTCCCAATTTTGGCACTAACCCCCAGATGTTAGTGAGCAGGACCCTGCATGGTCAACCGGGCTGTTTCTGCCATTGTCTTTCCCAATGCCCACTTCGATGCCAGGCGATCCGCCCAGTTTTCATTTCTTTGAGGCTTTGTAGCGATCAGTACAGCTGAGGGGGCTCGCTGGGCCGTTTCGGAGGGCAGTCGAGATTCGACCAGGTCGCTGTGGGTCAGGAGTCACGTGTCGGGTAGGCCAGACCCCAGCAGATTTCCTTCTCCCACTGAAGGGCGTTAGTGAACCAGGCGAGTTAGCCTGTCGGACTCCACCACCCCCACCTCCACCCCAACACCCCCAACCAGTGCCCCAACCACCCCACCCCCCCCCCCCCCCCAACACCCCCAACCACCATCCTCCCTCTACTCCTTGACTCGGCATTCCCAGTCACCTCCGGGTGCCTTTCCCCTCCGTCCCGGAAGCCCGGATCGCTCTGGGATCCCTCCAGCCAGACCCGGAGCCGCGCAAAGGAGGAATCAGTAGGCGGCTCAGCGTGCAGGGCAGGGAGCTCCAAGTGTGAGTATGGGGGGGTGGGAGGTGTGGGGAGTGGGTGGGGGCAGGGGGTGGGGTGGTGTGTGCCCCGTTCGGGCAGGAGAGGTGGGTTGGCAGGGGAAGAATCCGGGTTCAATTCTCAGAATTAGAACGTAGAACACAGTACAGGCCTTTCGGCCCACGATGTTGTGCCGAACTTTTACCCTAATCCCTAAGGTCGATCTAACCTCCACCCCTACGTTGTACTATCGTCCGTATGCCTACCTAATAGTCGCTTAAATGCCCCGAAAGAGGCCGACTCCACTACCCTCTCCGGCAACGCGTTCCACGCCCCGACCGCTCTCTGAGTAAAGAACCTACCTCTGACGTCTCCCCTGTATCTACCTCCACTCACTTTAAAACCATGTCCCCTCGTAATAGCTACCTCCACCCGAGAAAAAAGTCTCTGGCTGTCCACTCTATCTATACCTCTGCTCATTGAATTTGAATCACAATTTTTAATTTTTTTTTTGTTTTTGAAATATAATAAAACAAAACCCTCGAATTAAGAGTCCGCAGAACTGCTGTAGATAGTCATGCCGGTGTTTGGGGGAGGGCAGTTTGGGAAATAAAACCCCTTTCGGGACAACAAAGTGCACGGAGGTTGCTAGAGAAACTCGGCAGGTCTGGAGGAAAGGGGGAAAGCAGGGTCACTGTCCCGATTCCCAGGGAGCAGCAGGAACGTTCTGACAGAGTATTCGGGAGAAGGGGGTGTGTTGAAATGGAATGATTTATGATCACAGGCTCAGTGTCGGAGGGGGGGCTTCACAGAGTCGTACAGCGTAGAAACAGACCCTTCGGCCCAACCAGTCCATGCCGGACTTCAGCCCCTAACTAAACTAGTCCCATTTGCCAGCATTTGGCCCATATCCCGCCACGTCCCCATCCAGATGCCTTTTAAATGTTGTCATTGTACCAGCCTCCACCCACTTCCTCTGGCAGCTCGTTCCACACACGCACCACCCTCTGCGTGAAAAAGTTGCCCCTCAGGTCCCTTTCCCCATCTCACCTTAAACCTATGCCCCTCTAGTTTTGGATTCCCCTACCCCGGGGGAAAACGACCTTGGCTACTCATCCTGTCTGTACCCCTCATGGGTTTATAAACCTCTATAAGGTCACCCCCTCAGCCTCCGACGCTCCAGGGAAAATAGCCCCAGCCTCTCCAAACCCTCCAACATCCTTTTCCGAACCCCTTTCCCAACATCCTTCCTGTAGCAGGGAGACCGGGATTGAACGCAGTATTCCCAAAGCGGCCTCCCCAATACAGCCGCAACATGGCCCTCCCGACTCCTACACTCAACGCACCGACCAATAAAGGCAGGGGTCCCAAACCCCTTCTTCACCGCCCTGTCTACCTGCGTCTCCACTTTCAAGGAACTATAAACCTGCCCCCCAAGGTCTCTCTGTTCAGCAACACTCCCCAGGACCTTACCGTTAAGTCCTGCCTTGATGTGCCTTTCCCAAAATGCAGCACCTCACATTTATCTGAATTAAACTCCATCTGCCCCTCCTCGGCCCATCTGATCCCGGTCCTGTTATACTCTGAGGTAACCCCCTTCGCTGTCCATATACCTCCAATTTTAGTGTCGTTTACAAGCTTACTAACCATCCCTCCTGTGTTCACATCCAAACCGTTTATATGAACGATGAACAGCACCAATCCCTGTGGCACACCGCTGGTCACAGGCCTCCAGTCTGAAAAGCAACCCTCCACCCATCCCCCTCTGTCTCCGACCTTCGAGCCCATTTTGTATCCAACTGACATTACGAATCAGTCTACCGTGTGGAACCTTGTCAAAGGCTTTACGAAAAGTCCAAATTAACAACGTCTAACGCTCCTCAATCAAGTTTGTAGGACACTATTTCCTCGCCTTTCCGAATCCTTCCTTTCAGAGTCACTACCGGTTCGAAACTGGTGGACTGAGGGGAGCGTGGATCTTGCAGAGAGTCGGATTTGTTTCTAGATTTCCTACGGTTATTACATTTCAGTAGTCGGTCACTGAACCCATTTCCTATTTTCCCGTCTCTCTCTCTCTCGCTGCAGACAATGGGAGGCAGATGAAGCTCGAATTCTAAGAGTCTCGGTCTCTTCCTTCCTCGATCACCTTGCGCTGGTCCTGCTGACCATGGAGAGGTTTGGAGCTAGCACCCTTCAGCAGAGCGAGCAGGAGAAGCAGAATTAGCAAGGTCCGTCTCCCCAGCGAACAGTCCTTGACTCGCGTCTGCTCTGCCATGTTTTATCTCTGACTTTTGGCGGCACTGAAGCTGACTGTTACAACTTTTTGGGGGTGGGGGTAACGTCGCGTCATCGGGTGCAAAATGCTGCAGGAGGTCGCCTGAGACCCAGCGGCCGGTTTCAGGGAGTAGGGGTTCCCTCGCGAGAGAACGCGGGACGAAAAATAAAGAGGGGGCGACCTCAATCTTTTCCCGTCCCCTTCGTCTGCTTCCCACGAGCGGCCCTAGCTTGGGACGCAAGGCTCAGGATTAAACCGAAATGGAGTGTGTCACAGAGAGGAATGCTCGCGGGAAGGTGAAACAAAAAGAGAGAGAGAGAGAGGAAGGGGAGGAGAGGTCCCAGCAGGAGACGTGTGCTAATCCAGGACTGACACCCACACATCGGGCGGGTTATGTAACTCAATGGGCCTCAGCGCAGTTTGGCTTATCTCTCTGTCAAAGGGCAATTATTTGAACTGAATGCGTAGTGTCCCACAGCACAGAAACAGACCCTGTGGCCCAACCAGTCTGTGCCGATCCTAATCCCAAACTGAACTGGTTCCCCACCTGCCTGCTCCCGGCCCGTATCCCTCCAAACCTTTCCCCATCCATGTACTTATCCAAATATCTTTTCAACGTTGTAACTCTACCCACATTCACCACTTCCTCTGGAAGCTCATTCCACACACAAACCACCCTCTGTTTATATAAAAAAAAAATTTTCCCCTCGTGTCTTTTTTAAATCTTTCTCCTGTCATCTTAAAAATATGCCCCCTAGCTTTAAAATCCCCGAGGGAAAGGACACCCACTATTCACCCTGCCCATGCCCCTCATGAATTTATAAACCTCTATAAGGTCACCCCTCAACCTCCTGTGCTCCGGCCTCTCCTTACAACTCAAACCCTCCATTCCCGGCCACATCCAGATAAATCTTTCCCGAACTCTCTCCAGTTTAATAATATCCTTCCTATAACAGGGCGACCAGAACTGGACACAGTGCTCCAACGTCTGTGTACAACCTCAACGTGACGTCCCCAACTCCTACACTCAAAGGGTCTGAGCGATGAAGGCAAGCGTGCCAAACGCCTCCTTCCCCACCCTGTCTACCTGTGACGCTTAGTTCAAAGGATTATGTCCCTGAGCCCCCCCTCGGTCTCTCTGTTCTACAACACCACCCCAAGGCCCTACTTTTCATTGCATAAGTCCTGCCCCTTGTTTGTTTTAGCGACACCTCGCGTTTATCCGAATTAAACTCCGTCTGCCCCTCCTCGGCCAGTTGACCCAATGGATCGAGATCCCTTTGTAATCTTAGAGGAACCTTCCTCACTGCCCACTACGCCCCCGATCCTGGTGCCATCTGCAAACTTACTAACCGCGCCCCCTGTATCCTCGTCCGAATGGTTTATATAAATGACAAACATGCACAAGGAGGTGTCACTGGCGAAGGGGCACGTTCGCTTGAGGATAAAGGGAGGGGTGCGACCCTTTGACATATTGGCCTTCCCCTGAACCACCTCCCTAGTAAATATCTTCCAGTGGGAGGAACTGACACTCTCCTGGACACCTTGGGGTTGGGGGAAGATCGGGGCAAATTAGTCAGACATACACCTCTCAAATCTCCCCGAATTTATTCACCAGTGACTTGAACAGCACGGGGTTAGATACAGAGTAAAGGCTACCTCTACACCGTCTCCCCCCCACCATCAACCACTCCCAGGGCAGGGACAGCATGGGGTTAGATACAGAGTAAAGCTCCCTCTGCACCGTCTCCCCACCATCAAACACTCCCAGGAAACCTACACAGCTGGTCTGATTCAGCAAGGAATGCCTTTGCTGCTCGGTTTCGTGTATCTCTGGACCTCGGAGTTAGTCTAAGAAAAACGAACAAACCTGAAAATTCGCAGCTGCCTTTGGAGACCACAACAGGGGAGCAGCTAAGTGGCTAGTTTTTTTTTAAGATCTACAATAGTGAGTAGAGCGGGTTCCTTTTAGTTATGTTTTATTGTTATCTATTTCTTGATTAAACTTTATACATACAAAACGTAGTTAGCCTGGAGCAGTAAGACTGGGCTGTTTTCTGGGTCTGTAGGCAGTTAAGGTGCAGAGATGGTCTCTCGTGGAATGGTATGCTGTCCCTGTCGGATGTGGGAGATCGAGGGAGAGTTTCCATGTTTTCTGACGATTACATTGGGGGTGGAGGGTGATGGATGGAAGTTGCAGGAAGGGAGATAAACCGAAGATACAGTCGGGTAGATGGGTGACCTCCAGGAATGGTGGGAGAGAACTGGACACAGTGCTCCAGAAGAGGCCTCACCAACGTCCCTGTACAACCCCAACGTGACGTCCCCAACTCCTACACTCAAAGGGTCTGAGCGATGAAGGCAAGCGTGCAGAACACCTTCTTCCCCTGTTGCTAGCCCCATCATTTGGGTGGCACGGTGGCTCAGCGGTTAGCGCTGCTGCCTCACAGCACCAGGGACCCGGGTTCGATCCCACCCTCGGGCAACTGTCTGCGTGTGGAGTTTGCACATTCTCCCCCCGTCTGTGTGGGTTTCCTCCCACAGTCCAAAGGTGTGCAAGTTAGGGTGGATTGGCCGTGCTAAATTGTCCCGTAGTGCCCAGGGATGTGCAGGTTAGTGTGGATTGGCCATGCTAAATTGTCCTGTCATACCCAGGGATGTGCAGGTTAGGGTGGATTTATAGGGGAATGGGACTGGGCTGGATGCTCCGAGGGTCGGTGTGGATTTGTTGGGCCGAAGGGCCTGTTTCCACACTGTCGGGATTCTATGAAAACAGGTTTGCAGTTTTGGAAAACGTAGTGGGGCATGACAGACTCTCGGGGGAACACAGCACCGACAGCCAGGTTTCTGGGTACCAAGACTGGCTCTGATGTATCGAGGGGTACGACAGGTTCCAAGCGTTAGGGTTCTCTCTAGTCAGAGGCACAGACACGACATATCTGCATCCGACAGCGAGACACCAGAGCCCTGCCTCCCCGGTGCCAGGATCAAGGATATTCTCAGAGGGGGAGAGGGACCAGCAAGAGGTTGTGTGCACATTGGAGCTAACGACACAGGACGAGATTCTGAGGAGGGAATATCGGAAGTGAGGTAGGAATTTTTATTTTAAAAGAAAGGAGGTCCTCGAGCGTAGCGATATCTGGATTACTCCCGGTGCCAGTGAGGGTAGGAACAGGAGGACGGAGCAGATGAACGCTTGGCGGAGGAGCTGGTGCAGGGGAGAAGGATACACATTTTTGGCTCATTGGAATCTCTTCTGGAGTTAGGAGCGACCTGAATCGGAAGGAGACTAACGGGGAGATTTGCTCGAGCTGCTCGGGAGGATGTAACCTGCTCGGGGGTGGGTGGGAGAGAATCACAGGGAGATGGTGAGGAAAGAGGTCAGCCTGAGACCGGTGCGGTTGGAGGGGATAAAGGAGTAAGTCAAACGGTCAGGAACAGAGCAGCGAACGAGGTAGGACTGATAAACAGCATTTATTTCAAAGCGAGCGGCCTGACAGGTGAGGCAGATAAGCTCAGGGCACGGGACTGGGGATATCATAGCAATTACAGGGACGAACAGCTGAACGTTCCAGGGTACGGGAAGGATAGAACAGGGGTCAATGAGAATCCAGAGGGGATTCTACAAATACATTAAAGGACAAAAAGGTAACTGGGGAGAGAATAGGGCCCCTTAATGGTCAGCAAGGCTCGCTTATGTGTGGAACCGCAGGAGATGCGGGCGATACTAAATGAATATTTTGCGTGGAGAAGGATATGGAAGATTGAGAGCGTGGGAAATAAATAGCGACGTTTTGAAAAGTGTCCATATCACAGAGGTGGAAGTGCTGGACGTCTGAAAATGCATAAGTCCCTGGGACCTGATCGGGTGTACCCTAGAACTCTGCGGGAAGTTGGGGAAGAGATTGCTGGGTCCCCTTGCTGAGATATTTGTGTCATCGATAGCTACAGGTGAGGTGCAGGAAGACTGGGGGCTGGCTCACTATTTAAGAAAGGTGGGAAGGGAAAATCCAGGGAACTATAGCCCGGAGAGCCTGACATCGGTGGTGGGCAAGTTGTCTGAGGGACAGGGTTTACGTGTATTTGGAAAGGCCGGGACTGATTAGGGACAGTCAGCGCGGCTCTGTGCGTGGGAAATCATATCTCACTAACTTGATTTAGTTTTTTGAAGCAGTAACGAAGAGGATTGATGAGGGCAGAGGGGTGGACGTGATCTACATGGGCATCAGTACGGCATTCGACAAGGTTCCTCATGGTAGACTGGTCAGCAAGGTTAGATCCCATGGAATACAGGGAGGACTATCTAGTTGGATACAGAACTGGCTCGAAGGTTGGAGGTGGGAGGTGGAGGGTTGCTTTTCATACTGGAGGCCTGTGACCAGCGGTGTGCCACAGGGATCAGTGCTGGGTCCACTGCTGTTTGTCATTTATATAAATGGTTTGGATGTAAACATAGGAGGGATGGTTAGTAAGTTTGCAGATGGCACCAACATTGGGGGTGTAGTGGACAGCGAAGGGGGTTACCTCAGATTATGACGGGACCTTGATTAGGTGGGCTGAGGAGGGGCAGATGGAGTTTAATTTAGATAAATGTGAGGGGCTGCATTTTGGGAAAGGCACATCAGGGGCAGGACTTAATGGTAAGGTCCTGGGGAGTGTTGCTGAACAGAGAGACCTTCGGGGGCAGGTACATAGTTCCTTGAAAGTGGAGACGCAGGTAGACAGGGCGGTGAAGAGGGGGTTTGGGACCCTTGCCTTTATGGGTCGGTGCGTTGAGTGTAGGAGTCGGGAGGGCCATGTTGCGGCTGTATTGGGGAGGCCGCTTTGGGAATACTGCGTTCAATCCCGGTCTCCCTGCTACAGGAAGGATGTTGGGAAAGGGGTTCGGAAAAGGA